GAACATCTCCTGCCCTTCCCGTGTAGGCTACTCATATTTTGCAGCATGAGTAGGACCATCACAGCCCTTCCCACAACCAGGCTATGCTTGTGCATAGAGATAGGGTAAGCCTGCTGTTTGTGAAAGACAAGTGAGGAGTGAGATCAGGTATTCAAGCCAGTTGGCCATTATCTCTTCCAGGGTACCCCCATCGTTCAGCCCGGACACTGAGGTCCAGCTCTGAGGGCCTTCTGGTGGTTACCTCATTGAGAGAAGTGAGGTTACAGAGAACCAGGCAGAGGGCCTTATTGGTAGTGGCGCCTGCCCTGTGGAATGCCCTCCCATCAGATGTTAAGGAAATAAACAACAAACTGACTTTTAGAAGACATCTGAAGGCAGCCCTGTTTAGGGAAGTTTTTAATGTTTGATGTTTTATCATGTTTTTAATATTCCATTGGGAGCTGCCCAGAGTGGCTGGGAAAACCCAGCCAGATGGGCGGGGTATAAATAATAAATAATTATTATTCCCTCCCCGTCCACAAATTTCCTCTCCAACAGTCACTCAGCATGCTCCATCCTTGTTGGTCTGTTTTGGTGGCCCTACTATGCCACCTCCTAAAGAATTTGTCTACTTCTGCAGAAACCCCATCCAGGGAATGTTGATACCTCCCTCTTGTTCATCAGTGGCACAATTTTGGATACATTGCGGTCATAACAAGGGATGTGTGAATCTGTGGATATCAGTTTCTTGCTTCTCCACTCCTAATTTCAGTACTTGCCTTTCCACAACAGTTTGCAAACTTCTCCTCCTCAATTCAGACGCATTTTAGTGTCAGTTTCTCCCAATATACATTTTTGTATGCAATTTTGTGTAACATACACATCCCCCGCCAAAAAAATATAATGCACTTTAGCGCATCACTTTCACTCATATATGAATATTTATGCATATTTGACCCTAGCATGTTCGTTTTTGTACACATTACATGGCTGGAGTTCTGCACTGCAAAATCTGGAGAAGTACAAATTTTGAAGGAGGGTTGTGTTTCACTTTGCATATTGGTTTGAGAAATGCAAATTAGGCAGTTTCTCTTTAAATGTGAACTTTATTGTTGAATTGTAGGACTGTAGAGTTGGAAGGGACCTCGGGGGTCACCAAGTCCAACCCCCTCCTAGCTAGATCATACCTGACAGTTTCTCCTTGTTGCTGAGGTCCACATCCAAGAAAAACTACCCCTGTGTTGCTTCTTCTACCTTCTGGGGAGTGAAATTGTCGGTGAGGCAACTGAAGAATTTGTTGGACCTTACATTCTTGGCAGAGTTTGAGTTCCAACAGATATTGGGGTGGTTGAAGTCTCCCATGACTACATCTCTCCTTTTTGAATGTTTGGTAATCTGCTCTAGGAAGGCATCAACCAAGTCCTCAGTCTGTCTTGGAGGTCTAAAGCAGACGCCTACAGTAAGGTCACTCTTGTTCCCCTCTCCTACAAATGTTACCCATATACTCTCATTCTGCTTTCCATGCTCGAAGTCATGGAGCATAATTGAGTGTCCCCCTTGACCCTAGTGATAGCACCTGCATTTTCTGTTAGTATAAAAATACAGTGGACGCTTGGGTTGCGAACATGATCCGTGAGGGAGGCACGTTCGCAACCTGTAGCGTTCACAACCTGCAGTGCCACGTCTGCGCATGCGGGGGTTGCAATTCGGCGCTTCTGCGCATGCGCAAAGAGCGATTTAGTGCTTCTGCGCATGCGCGAATGCCGAGACCCGGAAGTCACCCATTCCGGTACTTCTAGGTTCAGCGCAGTGCACAACCTGAAGCATCTGTAACCCAAGGTATGACCGTACTGTCAGGAGTACAAAGCATACATTCAAAGCACAAGCTTCTCCCTGCAAAAAAAATCCTGGGCCCCGCAGTTTACTTCTGACAAAATTCCCAGTACCGTTAACAAACGATTTGCATAATTCTTTGTGTGGGGTGTTGTGTGTCTGTGTGCTTTAAATACATGGTGTGTATGCAGCTTTAGTCTCAATGATCTCTCAAAGGTCCTCCCCACAGCTCAGTCATTCTATGATGGTATGATTCGCATCTGGAAAATGGAAAAATTGCTTGAGTACATCTGGCAGGCTGCGTATTGAGTATAAAAAATGACAAACCAAAGTTCTAGCTATGCAATATGAGAAGTAGCCCTAAACAATCTGTGTCTGGATCCTAAGGTTCAGAACTTCTTACACCAGATGACTCATTTTTCTCCTAATAAAATCTTTCTATTAAAATGCATCTTCATTATTGTTATTTTTTTCATGCAGGCAGGAGGAGTAATATGAAAAAGGGGTTGTTAAAAATTAAATTATCATATTCCCAGGAGGCATTTTCAAGGCATTTATGAAGGCAGTCGCGCTTTTTATTTATCTCAATTGCGTTTTGAGGTTTACAGATTTTGGGTAATGTATACAGTTGATAAAAAAACAAAAAACAAAACCCATTCAGTCCAAAAAGAGAGACATACAAATCCACACATCATGGTTTGGGGAGGTAAAATCACCCTCCCCTGTTCTGTAAGAGAGATGTCTAAATGTAGTCCCAGAATGCATTGCCAGTTCCAGAGAAGGTCATGCAATTGATGGTGATATTTACAAGTATGTTTGAAAAGTTGAGGTGTGAGAATATGTCATATAATCTGCAGGCTTTTCATTTAAGAAGACTGGACCAAGATGACATCAGTTTTCTGCTTCCCAGCTTTTAATGACTGTTTTTGTGGGTTAGTTGTAAACCTCAGAATGTATCCCACTGCTGTTCAGCTAATTATATGTAATGGAAACTGTCTCTGTATTTTTTGTAATTAGAGTTTGCTTTATATATTTGGTTTTCTGCAGGGTGGGGGTGGGAGGAGGAAGAGCTGTCTTGATTTGCACTGCAAAATTCACTGGCTTGAAAGTAAAACACATGTCTATGTTAAATCAATTGCAGATATGAAACTGGAAATTTGACTCGGATTCTGATAACATTTGATAATAAAAACGGGAAAGTTTGAAGGGTAAGGCAAGTGGACCGTCTGAAAATCTCTGGCCCGTACATTTTATTTTTTATCATTTGAATTAGAAGAGGAATCGTGCATTACTATGTAAATAAGGTGAGCCCTTGATGTAGGATAATTGTTATAATCTCAAAGAGATTTGTATTTTCTCTGAAACTAAATGATGAAAACACTAAATGTAGAAACAATTCATGTTGGGGAGAAACAATCACTCCAGGTGCAAAAATAATTGTTTTCAATATCGTGTTTTTTTCCTGGTGAATTAAGGGAGCAGGCTATTCCACCACGATAACAATTCTCTATTGTCTCAATTTGTTTTGTTTTCCAATCTTGATTATGGAGTTGTGAAAATTACTTTGTAGGTGTGACTTATACTGTATAAACCCATGATGTTTGATGCAACATTTTGGTATACAGTAGTAGCAAGCAAAATGGGAGTATTTTCTCAAATGTAAAGGTAATTAGGGTTTTTTTGGGGGGGAGAGATCCAAATTTGCAAAAGAGCAGCATTGCTTTCTCTTGCTCTCTCTTTTAAAGGAGAAATAAATCTCCTATGAGTTATTTTTAAAACCAATATAGAGAGAAACAGCTTGGACTGAAAGTTTCTGGTTTGATTTATTCTTAACTGATGCCTTGTGAGCTTGTCTATTTTTCAAAAGGTAGGGTAGGGTACCAATATTAGAACTTTCTCCCAGTAGGCTGTTAAACCTTAGAACTGTTTATCAGGCACTGTCGAACTCCATGAAGTTTGCCTCTGATTGGCTTGCCAGCAGTGTTTGAACATTTTATCATCTGAAATGAAAACTGCAGACCAGTAAGGATGCAGCAAACGACTTTTTAGAATATTTTTAGCTGCAGCAAATACCACAACACATCTAAAGGAGAAGTAGGCTGTGCATTTGTCACGTGCATGTGTACATTTATCACATATATAGCACTCCTATAGCTTGATCCTAGGCCTGTTCACTCAGAAATAGTCACTGCCAGGTAAGTGTGCATAGGATTACATACTTAACGGTATTCATCCTGAACTCTGATCTGGACAGACTGCTCTGAGAAAAGCATATTTCATTATATTCATTATATTGCACTAGTATTGCCAACAAACCTGGAACATTGCTGCACAGCGTGGGTTGGTGCCATTGGCTTGGGATGTTTTGACAACATCTTACAACCACTTTGGCTATTATGGAGCTGGGGCAAACACACTATTTCTATTTGATAACAAGCTATTTGAAGGAGGTAGCAAGAGGCAGATACCTAGAAGGCGTAGCATGACAGTCTATACCTGCTGAATTCCCTCTTCTGAATGATGATGAAGGATATAGGAACCCTCTCCTCCTTTTCACCTGACCATCCTCATCCATACCCATCTAGATAACAAATATGCATTTCTCAAGGGCCAATTAAATAGCACGACAAGGTCTTATCTTGCCCCCTGCCCCCTATTATGGCCACTTGTCACCGTGTTCCATTGTGCCAGAAGAGGTTTAGTCATGCTGGCCACATGACCTGGAAAGCTGTCTGTGGACAAACGCCGGCTCCCTTGGCCTGAAGCGAGATGAGTACTGCACCCCATAGTCACCTTAGGCTGGACTTAACTGTCCAGGGGTCCTTTACCTTTTTATCTGTTATGGGCTGAAAGGGGATGGGTGGGTGGAGGACATATTTCTCAATAAAATTCCATGTCTACACTGTACTTTCACTTCCATACATCACTATGGAAGTGAGAGCTGGACCATAAAGAAGGCTGATCGCCGAAGAATTGATTCTTTTGAATTATGGTGCTGGAGGAGACTCTTGAGAGTCCCATGGACTGCAAGAAGATCAAACGTATCAATTCTTAAGGAAATCAGCCCTGAGTGCTCACTGGAAGGACAGATCCTGAAGCTGAGGCTCCAATACTTTGGCCACCTCATGAGAAGAGAAGACTCCCTGGAAAAGACCCTGATGTTGGGAAAGATGGAGGGCACAAGGAGAAGAGGATGACAGAGGACAAGATGGTTGGACAGTGTTCTCTACACTTGATCTTAGCCAAAAGGCCGAGAAGCGATGTTCTCAGCCTTCCGGGTTAGCGCCTCCGGCAATGGCGGATTTCCTCTGACCAGGAGGAATCTGCTTCGTGAGAACTAGGGTCTGGACCGCCGCGGCGAGGCAGAGACCCATTAAAAACCACAGGCGGTAGAAGCCTGTGGATGTGGGATTCGGCTGGCACCTTTGCGCCCCCCCTACTCGCGGGGAAACCCAGTTTCGGGGATCCGGAGCGACGTGGGGTGAATGGCGCGGTGCTTTGAATCGACTGCTTTTTTCACGGAGTGAAGCCGCATTGCTGTTGCTGGAGAGTGCTGACTTTTTCCTGTGGACAAGTGGACTTTAAACAACTGCCCGTGAGTAGAACTGAAAATTGGATTAAGAAACTTTTTAATTTGGCACCGAAGCGGGAAGGTCTAAACAGGAAGTCCGCCTTCCGCTTTTGTAAATAGATTGAAGCAAAGACATTGCAAGCTAGAGTCTGGAAAGCCGTTTGTAAAGGACTAAATTTCCACCAGTTAAAATCACTAAACCCCCCTTGGAAGCAGGAGAAGAGGGGGAATCTTTTAGACTGTTTAAACCTGCAGAAGAGAGTAAAGAAAGATAAAGTTCCACCGTCTTGATCCTGGGAGCGGGGTGTCAGAGACAGACACTTTGGGGAAGTTCATTGACTGTGGACAAAACGTTTTTGATAGATAGTTAAAAAAGAGAAACATATTGATTCCAATGTTCCTTTTTGCATTTAAAAGGAACGAAATATCTGGGAAATGAAAGGAACTTTGTTGCTAGAATCTGCTTTTAAAAAGATGGATACAAATAGAAATTGTTTCCTCTAGAGGGAGCTTGTGAAACTGTTGCAGGAGTCGATCTGGGGAATTCTACAGCTGTAGAGATAAAAGATCGTGGGAACTAGACACCGACCTTGAACAAGAATGTGCCCAGAAGAAGCTTTAGTGCTTGCTTTTTGCAAGACAAGTGCTTTACTGGAACAGCTACATGAGAAGATGGATTTGATGACTGTTGCAGTTGGAAATTTTGGACAAACAGTGAATACTTATATAGTAACCACTCAGGAATCAATCCAGGAATGTGCTTTGACAGAGCAAGTGGTGAAGAAGATAAAGGAGGAGGTAGTTGCTGAACCTCAAGTACCAGAAATGGAGAGAGCTGCGGCCATGCAGGAACATAAGTTGCTGTCTTTGACGACTGAACCTGGAGAAAGTCAGATTTGGAGAGATGGAGTACTGTTTGGTCTGGAGATGGGAAGTTGGATAAACCCCCCTATGCAGGGATGTTTTGACTTTTCGGATCTGGCTTTGGGCCAGGGGGAGTTCGGAGTTGTGGGGGCCCTCAATTTTGGAGGGACTTTGAAACATGCCTTTAAATATATTTTGGATTTCAGTGTCGACTATGGAGAATGGGCTGACTTGTCGAGAAGGGATAAAGATATTGTCAAGTTGGAGTTTCCCTGAGAGAAAGGAAGGAAATTAAGAATAAGATCAGCAGAAGATAAAGTAAAGTGCAGGTATAAACATGAAGAAGACCTGCAGAAGGGACATGGAAAGGACTTAAGAGCCTCGGATAGAAGGTCACCAGGTTGATGGACTAGATGGATGGAACAGAAAGGACTGACAAAACCTGAGACTAGGAAGAAGAGACGACGGATGAAGATTGGAAGAAAGTTTTAAAAATTCATTTAGAAAATTATTGTAAAATTAATGAGTATTAGAAAAATGTTGGAATGAAACTATTTGGCTTTAGTAGAAATGTTAAAAAGAATTATGTATAAATATGTTTTGTTAAAACTTAAATCTTATTTAAACCTAATTCTTTAAGTTTTAGGGTTTTTTATGGTAAGATAAGGTTAAAATAGATTAAGGTAATTTAATGACAGAATATTGTGAAAGATGGAAAGGATTTGCTGAGATAACTAATAACTAGAATACAAAAAAGGGAGGTGTGAGGAGGTCGATGAAACAAGTTAATGAAAGATAAGGATTTGGGAATATTGGATTTGTTTTTAATTTTTTTGTTTATTTTTGGGGTTTTTTGAATCTGATGTATTGTGTGTTTTGTTTTTCTTCTTTTTTTGACTTTTGTTTTTATTGACTTATATTGTTTAATCTCTTTTTTGTATACCTTTTTTCCTTTATTTTGTCTTGCTTTTTCTTTTTTCTTTCTGTAATTTTAAATTCTCAATAAATATCTTTTTTTAAAAAAAAAAAAAAAGGACAGTGTTCTCGAAGCCACAAACATGAGTCTGACCAAACTGCGGGAGGCAGTGGAAGACAGGAGTGCCTGGCGTGCTCTGGTCCATGGGGTCACGAAGAGTCGGACAAGACTAAACGACTAAACAACAACAACAACAACACACTGTACTTTATGACAATGTAAATTTAATTTACATGGAAACTTTCTTGGCATGTCAGATTCTCTCACAGTTGTTGAGTCCAAAGAATATCTTGCTCCTAATGAGGAATAGGATAAAATAAATTAATACGATAATAAATTAACTAATTATGATTAAATATTACGAAAGGGTGGTATCCAACTAAGTTTTACTCTGAGTAGACAGTTGAAATTAATGAACATGACTAAGTTTAGGTCTATTAATTTCAGTGAGCCTACTCTGAGTTGAATACCACCCATTAGCTGCAGATTCAGTAAAATGACTGTGCTGAGATATTTTCATGTTAAGTCTATTTCATGTGCTGTTCTAAAATCTTCAGAGGATAGAATCTGTTTTCTTGTAGATGGCCCATTGTTCCTCTATTTAAAGATAGACTGTAGGTGTTTCCCCCTTTGTTATCATATAATGTACCCAATAGATTTTCCTGTATACATTTCTATCTTTCCTAATAAATACATTCCTAAGGATGGTGTCACACTGAAGTATGTGTGGCTACTGTAGATGCTGCTGTAAATTGTAGCCTAATGATAAACTGGGCTCTGAGCTCCTTGGTCATCTCAGCATCATTGGAGGCCTAGGAGAAGGGAACTAGAGATGGAGGCTGGCAGGCAAGTAGCCAGCTGAGATCAGTGAGGGAGTGAATGGGCAGCCAAAGCTGGCAATGGAGCAAGTGAGCATTGCAGACCTGGTTCCAGATTATTAAGGTGGTAGGTGGCACTGCTGGCCAAATTCCTCCTCCCTGGTGAGCTTGGCGATCCGCTACTCCTACTGCCACAGCCATAGCCAAACAAGGAGGAGGAGAGGGAGCTGAGGAAGTAGGAAGCAGTGGCCAGACAACTTGGTAACCTGTGGCTGCCACAGTCAATTAAGATGAAGAGTCAACACAGGTAAAGTAGCAGCAGCAGATCCTCAGGTTGGCTGGCTGCTGCTTCTGACCGCCTTCCTGTGGTTCTCCTCCTGCCAGGCCAACTGTTCATCCTGCATGGCTGTAGTGGCATGGGGTGGCAACACAAAGGTCTAAGGGGGGTTGGTGATGTCTAAGTGGGTTCTGTGAGGTTTAAGGCGGTGAGAGGTTTGGCAAACTTTGTAGGAGTGGTGAATACTAGGAGGTTGGGGAGGCCTAGTGGGATGGGGTAGGTGAATTGACTGAATTTGGAGATTGGTGGGGGTAGGTGGGGTTGCTGAGCAATGGGAGCAACAACCCCTTGTCATATCACATCTCTGGAGAGCAGCTGAAGATCAATCTACACATAATGGGATTTCATAGTCCAAACAAAAATGTCTAATGATGTATATAAAGGATGTTGTTAAATGCTGTGGAAAATGTCATTGAACAGGACTAGTTTTTTACTTTACTTATCTTTTTAATTCCTTTTTCTTTTCTTCTTTAATTTCCTTTTTCTTTTTTGCAACCTGAGTATTGCTGTAACAAACCTTATTTTATATATCCCTTGTACTGTGCTATTATTATACACTGTGTGTGTACATTATGAGATTCTGTACAACTGAGGAGCTTTGCCAATATCACTGCGTTCTCAAAGTCTCTTTGCATATATTCATTTTATTAAGCATGTTATGAAAATTCAAGAATGTAAACCAGATATAGCTAACTGGATTCCCCTTCTGGGAGTTGTATTTAAGCACATTTTAAAAATAAAAATGCATGCATCTATACGGCTTCTTCCACTTAGAGCTCATCAAAAACCCTTATTCAGATATGCATCTGCAAGGAGAGAACTGAAATTTTATTGCCAGTTTGGTGTCCTGTATATATGTATATAATACCTATAATGCTCTAAATCAGCTTGGGAATGTTTTATTATGTGGGACCCTGTTACATTATGATCAAAGACCACAAAATTGTTGCCAGCTTTCAAGTTCTCCGGAACACTTCTATCACGCAAGATGTTACTCAATACAGGGGAGGGGTTGGGAGCTATAAATAGATAGATGATAGATAGATAGGTAAACAGATAGATAGATGATAGATAGATAGATAGATAGATAGATAGATAGATAGATGATAGATAGATAGATAGATAGATGATAGATAGATAAAGAAATACCCACCCTAAAAATCTCCACCATTAGATGTTGTAGCCATGAAGTCAGCTTGTCAACTCACTTCCAATTTTGTGATATTTTCGTTGGTTCTAATAAAAAAATACTTTACTTTCTAGCACGAACATTCAATTAAGATTCTATCTTTATCTTATAAAGATATTGCAGAACTGTGGATTGTGGAATTCTTCTTTTAGACCAACTCTGCTGCTTTTGCTTTCTATGTTGTTTAGAGACTATTCATTTCCATGCGTACAGAAGAGTGACTACAGCGAGAGACCGCAGTTTTGTGGTCAGCAGCCACAGAACAAAATGAAGAGGAAAGCTTGTGGGGAGGGGAAAGGAAGTGGTGCTCTTAATGAACACACACAGAGCCATTTGTGGATGCGCTCAGGGTGCATTCGTGGGAAATGAGTGGGGTGGTAGCATCTCTGGTAATGATGACTGCATAAAGGAGTGGTGATGGGAAACTGGTGCAACTGATGAAGTGGTTTGGACTGGGCAAGGGGCCCAAACCACCCACTTCCAGATAGCAGTGGAAAGGAAAGGTCA